CCCCCCCCCTGCAGATGATTGGGTATTCTTTGCAAAGTGACATTTCACCACATTCACCAAGCTAAGGGGAAACTTCCCCTGCAAAGTGCAAATTCACTTGCAAAGTGAATAGTCTATTTGCCTTTAGAAAATCAACTCCTATGTTTACAGAGCCATTGTAAAAAAAAAAATACTACACATGCACATGCATATATAAAGGTATCTGGATTAAATCAAATCATTGCATCACGAATCATAAATCACCATCCTGCAACAAGACTAAAATAAAACAGATACATGCCCACAACATGGCAGCTTACATGGGTGTTACCCTATGACAGCAAAGAGTAAAATGACCTAATTCAATGAAACTGGGATTACTTACACAGGTTACCTTTTTTTTTAGGATTCATTTTACATTAACTAATATGAACTCTAAAGTATACCTATCACAAACGTGGAGAACAAATCCTACTGAGAAAACTGGATGTTAAATCCTCATCCAGAGACAGTATTTTCGTGTAATTGTCAGGTTGGCCCTGTGTTTCCTACCACCTAGTAACAGCAGTCATAAATGAGGCTGCCCATGACAATAAAGGACCAAAAAGGAGAATGGCAGGAGGGGGCAGAGACAAGCTTTATGACATTGCAACACACCAATACGCATAACATGCACTACCACAAGGCAATGGTGTCAATGGGTCCTAAAGGTAATCTCTGCTTATGTATTTTTTCATCATATGCCAAATTTAAGCTGTAAATTACTGTGACAGGTTTACCTTAAAGCGTATCTAAAACCAAAAAAACAAATATTTTATAAATTGCAATTTACTAGTCCTTAGATATGGTGGCTGCATAGTTTTCTTTTCCTTTAATTTTATCTGGGAATCCTGTTGGTAACACACTACCTGTTCCAGTGGTGAAAACATCATTTCCTGTACTGTATCTATGGAGGAACAGCTTTGTCAACCTAGACTGCACTCCTATTTTTATACTACAAACATCTCCCACGTCCCTCTTCTCCATGACATAGAGGAGAGGACCCTTGTGGGCCTCAGAGATAACTGTAAATAGTCTGATGCCATTCATAAGAAGTTGAGAGCACACCATCTGACAATATGTCTAGAGGAATCAAAAGGTGTTTTAGTACTTCTATAGAACAAAACTCTTTCCAATCTAATTTTAACAAGGCAGCAAATAAGAGAAGTTTGTTGTTGGGGTTTACATACACTTTAAGTTTCCCACCATGTAAAAGAATTGATCTACATAAAGGATATTTTATGAGAAAGATGTGATCCTAGTGGATGGGTCTAGGCTTAGGCTTAGTGGGTCCAGGCTCAGTGAATTGAAGAAGTTCTAAGGTTCCAGCTTATACTATCCTGTAAATAACATCAGCATTGTAACAGGAATGCATACTACAGTTGTTTTTGATCATACAATCAAAGCCAAATGCGTCCTGAGGCCAGGTGTCACTCAGAGCAGCTGCTGGCTTTCACCCCCTGAGACGTCATCACGCATGCGTAATGACGTCATGCGCACTTAACTGCCGGCGGCCATCTTGGTGATGGACACCGGCAGAGAAAGGAGGTAGGATAATGTGTCCTCCTTTCTCGAACAGCTGTAAGGCGCTCGATCCATAATCGAGTGCCAGACTTTTGTTAGGGGGTGACACCAAAATGACTGTGAGTCTTTTTGGTGTCACCCCCTCTGATGGTGTCACCCGGTGCAGGCCACACACCCCCCCCCCCACATCCCCCTTGTGATGCCACTGATCAAAGCTTACTTGAAAAATTCTCTTTTATGTAGTGAGTGCTGCCATTTGTCTGCCCATCCCTTACAACAACTTCCTGGAATCCCTGTGTGCTTTGCATGTCTGCTGCTTGATGGGATGCAATCTTGATTTCCTAAGACTACACATTCCATCATGCACTGCTTCCAGCAAGCAATGATAATTTTACATTGTTCAGAAGTTGAGTTGTAGTCCAGAAGCCAGGCTTTCTGGGAGTTGTGATACAAGGAAGTAAAATTGTGTCAGTCCATTGAGGAAGTACATCCTATGGACATCTTCAATAAGTAAGTTTACAAACTTCTAGATTGATATGGTTGTTAGGAGTGGGATATAATGTAAGGAATTTCAAGATAGCTTATGACTATAAAAGCTAAAAGCTTTTGACCATAGATACCCTTTAACATGCTCCAGTTTTGTTAATCCAACCTGACTCATGGTGAAAACCCAGCACTTGTAGGCTTTCTATATATCTGTTTTCACTTTTTAACAGCAGACTCACATATTTCAGTAAAGCTTAGCAGGAAACCTAGGGCTATTGCTCATACAGACCAAGACATTTTTTTATTGTAGCCTGTATATGAGAAGAAGAACATTATCATATTTGAGAGATCATATGGGAGTATGGTGTATTTATTTCTAATTTCCTATGGGAATGACCGATTTTAGTTGTGTACCTGCTGCTTCAGATTACTGAACATTTACCAATAGCTTTGATGGTAATTTACTTCTCTGGTTGTTCTGAGAAGTGAGCTCACTGGTAGCTGTGTAGGATATTCTGTCTGGTGCTGGTCCACATCTGGCTGGATGTATAATAAGAGCAGTAATACACATTCTCAGGGCAGATGTTGTCTGTGATGCAATGTAAGCAGAGAAAGATCACAGAAGTGTTGTTTGATTCATGTCCCCTGCTGCCTGGGTTTAATTACTGAAAAACTGTGGTTACCAGATTCATTAATGATCCTAACTAGAGAAATTCTTAACAAATGCGTCAGATGGTGAAACGTACTGTATTTACGTAAAAGAACAAGTAGAGCGACGTTGTGAGGCAGGAAAATGAATGCCAATGCCCTCAGAATGTGGTAAGCTTTAACTGAACATTTTCAGTATGAATGGTGTTTATTACAGTCTGAGTAAACAGAAAAGTTTTTTTTGGTTGCATGTTAGGCTTCCTGTTTTTAACTTAAAGTTTAAGGCCACAGTGATCTTGGGATTGTTTTTGAAAAACAAAAATATTCATGTATCATGATTTTAAAAGCCTTTTTTTGGCTATAGTTCTCTTTTACTAATGTCCTCCTGTGACCCAAACAGAGCATCTAGCGGGCTACTGCACACTTTATGCTGACAGCGCTGAGCTGCATTGCAGCTGGGAAAGATCCCAACAATATTCAGGATCCACCCCGCTGCCTGACTGACAGCTCTAGAACAAGAGCCAGCTGTGCCTGCCCTCTCCCCTGT